GTCTTGCTTGGATTGAGGGTAATATATTGAGGGGGTAATAAAAGTCAAATTTGAAAAAACATGAGTAATTAGAGGTCTTGTTGTAGGAGGCATGGTATTTACAAATGAAATAAAGTAATTGTGCCACAAGGAAAAGAGAGAGATGGAGGAATTATTATCCTCATAATGAGGATAAAGTAACCCACCCCCAGTGTAATTATAACCCCAAATGAGGGTATTAGTTCCTCTTTCTTCATCTCATACCACACCATCACTACATAATTTTTCTTACAATCACACCAATACCCCCCCCCCTCCTTTTTCCTAATCCTAGATAGTGACCGAGAGGGTAGGCAATATTACACAAGACTATTGGTCTTTGGTCCCCTTCAAAGAAAGAACTTAATGTAGGTGCTCTTAAATGGGACATATTACTTATTGCATTGGCAGTGAAGTATCCTAGGAAAACTGCAGTAGATCAAGATAAGAAAGAGTTCTTGGTCCATGCAACTACGCAACATAAAGATTTGATTAGACCATCAAAATCAACCCAAAGAGGTAAAGATGAGTACGCTTACTGAGCATAACAACAACAGCTCATAGGTCTGTTTCTCAACTAAATTCGTGTGTGGACTGCAATTCTATCATCCGGGACTAATAGGGTCATTAAGTAAATATGTGGTGTAAACTTAAGTATTAAGGTCGGGAGTCTCGGGACAATGAGATTGTTATTTGGAGGTGGAGGAAGTAATAATTAAGGCCTGCCTCTAAGGCACACACCGCGTAAGGTAATAAACTAATAATGAAATGTAGATTTAGAGAGAGCAAGGAGGAACCTTTCGGTGGAGATAAGGGAAGACATCCTTCCCCGCACTCTTCATCCTTAAGCTAATGCCAGCCTATAAAATTCACTTCAAATGTTTATAACCTTACCTTGAATGGCTTTTTGAGGACATTGAGCATGTCCTCTACTTACGTACTATACCACTAAGCTTCGTATCTCACATCATGGAGGTAAACATATAATATTGCAATCTTATAGTCAACACTTCATATTAAAGATGATTATAGTATTCATAAGAAAACAATAACATACTAAGTATTTCATAGCTTGTACATTATTTTAGAAAATCACAAAATACCCACAGCCTTTCCAAAAGTAAGACAGGATTTTTTTTTTTATTTAAATTTCTCAAAATGCCCTATAATTGCAAAGTATAGCATGCACATGGCATCCCAATGATGTAACGACTAAAGGTACATAGATCCGATATGTGTGCTACACCTAAGAATACACACGGTTCTGTGCACACATATTGTGCACCGGCAGGCATAAACTACCATTGTGCAATGGTAGAATCCTTGTACTAAAGCGGAGTGATACGGAAAGAGTTGAATGATCCAGCCATTGTGAGGGTCTATCTTCAATTACGAATGGTGAAAACAATGTGATAATTTATTTCTGAATGTAAGGGACTATCCAAGGCTGGAAGTGGGCCTATATATGAGTACTTGAGTGATAAAAACATCATGCTTAAGGACCAGACCTCATCATCATACTTTGTATTATATTAATTATTAAGTACATCTTTCTTTGTCAAATCAATAATGCATCCATTAGGCCACAGCTGCCTCAGAAAGTCCTACATGTAAGAGCAAATCTAGATTAAAAAAAAAAAAAAAATGGAGAGCCTCCAAGGTGCTCCAAGCCAAAGTGAGAAATCACCACCATTGACAATCCTTTGCACCTTAGTTGTCACTGACACCAATCATAGTTTACATTGGACCAAAAACTGCTCCGATAAAAATCATTTTTGAAAACTTTAATGAAACTGAAAGGTAGTGATAAACTGTGACAGATATGAAACCTCTATTCCTCATCCCTACCCTCCCTAGTGTGTCAGTGAGATATATTCCCCAATTCCTCAAATTCCAATTATCCTTTAGGAAACCCTACTCTTTCACGCATACTCCTAAATGCTTCGTGTTTGAACCTATATAGAGTAAGGCTTCTATGTCTGTGTCGTATATAAACAATCCTGTATGAAACTAGTAGTTTTTACCACAGCCATCAAGTGCATACATGCATTCAAGATCTCCATCAAATGTATGAAAAGAGGGATGACATTAAAATGCATTAATGGCTAAATTTTTTTTATAAAAAATGGACAGACAAGTTGAAATGTGCAACTGGGAACAGAGATAACATTCAGCAACCATATCTTCTACTTATGTTCAGTATTATCAGCATGGAAATTTTGCTTGCAGGTTGCAGCAATATAAGCACTAAAGCAATGTCCAGTTAGTATAACTCACTTAGCTGTTGAACAGCATTACTCCTCCCTGGACCAATCCCCACTCTTCCCTCCAGTTTTAAGCTCAAGCCTCACATTTGATATTTCAATATTTTTTGAGGCAGCCTTGCACATATCATAAATGGTTAGCCCGGCAATGCTGACAGCAGTCAGAGCTTCCATCTCGACCCCAGTCTTTCCCATTGTTGAGGCTTGTCCGTGGATATCGACACTGTAATCCTGGTGATTTAAAGCCAAATCAACATCCACATGTCACAGGCTAATATTATGGCAAAGTGGGATAAGGTTGCTAGTTTGCTTTGCTCCTGTAATTCCTGCAATTTTGGCCACACTAAGCACATCTCCCTTGGCTAATTGGTTTGCTGACACCAAATCAAACACCTCCTTTCCCAATACAACTTTGCCACTGGCAACTGCCGTTCTTTTGGTGTTTTGTTTGGGAGAGACATCCACCATTTGTGCCTCCCCTTGCTTTCCAATATGGGTTAATCCACATACTTTTTCAGATACTTCAGAAGTTGAAAACCGAGTATCTTGAGTTACATCTCCAGAACCACTTGAACCTAAAGGGCCTGCTGATGAAGGAGGTTCACCAAATATGTCTTCCAGTTCCTAAACTCATAATTTCGGATAAACATCACTTAGTACACTACATGAGAAAGCATCCTAAGTAAAGTACCAAAAAGGAAAATAGTATTGCTATACAAAGAAGAAAGCATATTGATGTACAAATTTATTAAACACAAGTCTATCATATCAAACTACAATACATATCAATTAATCGTCCATTGTGTCAATTAACAAACCACAAAAATCCAATAATCTAGACATGGGAAATTGACAGCTCAATAGGGTTTGATTATGTTATTTATGAAAACAAAACATCCAAAATGTAATCTAATCTAATCAAATCAAACACTTTCATATAAAATTTAACAAAAACTCTTAACTTTCAATACATCATTCAGCAAGAATTTCTTCAAAACTATTGCACTTAATTACAAGTTAAGCATATAAAGTGCAAATTTTATATAGGATCCAATATATATTTGTTTAATATGTACTGTAGTAAGCAATCATATAGGGCATTGGCATACCTTATTGAACTCCACAATGGAGGAAGCAAGGTCATGAGTGTTCTTAGTTGATAAGAATCTTTTAGAAAGAGAAAATGTTGTAGGAAATTTTCGCAGAAGCATCACCAACTCCAATTTTAGAGAAGTACAACCTTTACATGTCAAATCCAAACAAAACATTACAAATAAATATAGACTATGGTACGAAGTATAAAATTCAGGCATTCTATAAACTAGTGGTGGGTGGTTGTTTAGTAAGCAAATACTCGATATGCGCGTTTATAACAATGCACAAGGGAAGTTCATAAGTTAATCCAATACTTCCTCCGTCTTTTATTTATCGCATCATATGGTAAAGTTGGGAAATTTTTGGTAGTATGAAAGAGAGTGGTGCATTGACAATATTGTCTTATATTGAGAAAAATATTGAAGACCCACCAAAATTTTATTTAAGCTGTGTCGGCAACATAAAATAAATACCTAGTACTTCATGAAAGTGTAAAGTATAAAAGGGTTGTCAGCAACCAAATTTCCCACGTGACCTCTCAATTTGGTTTGGCTCCAAAATTCCCACAAAAATTTTCAATGAAAGTGTTGTAAATTTTTAGAAGGCCACCAAAAGTCAACATATTTAAAACTTTCAAATTCTATTCTCAAAGTATAAAAGGAGCAAATATTCAGATTTAGAAACATTCTCTGAATCAGAAAACAAACTTCTAAATTTTTTTTTTTTATGAGTTAGACTTTCTGGATTTTACTTCACAGCACACACATCACTTTTCCCCCATAATTTCTTTGTCTTCACAGCACACACAGCACTTTTCTACCGATATTTTTTTGTCTTCACTGATATTGAGAGGTTTGAGGACCTCGAAGAACTGTATAATTTGGAGCAATCTCAAGAGTGTAGTGAAGATTACGAGGTATTGTTTTCTTCTGAATCTTATAATGATAGTGATATAGAAGTAGATAATTATGCAAATCCAGCAATTGTAGTAATGGATTTACAAAATGTTCATGTCATAGAACAGAAAAATGGAAAGAAAGCCTTTGAATTAACTAACAAACAAAGACAACATATTGTGCAAGAGCTTATTCTAGCACAAGAAGGTAAAAGGTTTCGCGGGGGGGGGGGGGGGGGGGGGGGGAATCTATCCCAAAAGGTTCAATTAAAAAGTTAGCACATAAATACAATGTACATAGGACAACTATTGGTAGAATTTGGTCTAAAGCAAAGGTCCAATTTGGGAGAAATAGAGTGATTGATGTGTGTAGCAGAAAAAGAGAGGGGAAGGAAGAAATTAGAGTTTGACCCTGTGGCAGCAGTACCAGTTTGATAAAAGGACCACAATTAGAGCTTTATCAGAGGCACTGCATTTAAGCAATACAACTGTGTATAGGTTGCTAAGGACTGGCATTCTAAGGGCACATACAAACACCATAAAACCATCACTTAAGCATCACCATAAAGTTAAAAAAGTGCAATTTATCGTTAACAGTATCATTCCAGGAATTGTTAATGAACTTCCTAAGTTCAGTGCAATGTATAACATGGTGCATATTAATGAAAAATGGTTTTTATGAGTGATAAGACTCAAAGATATACAGAGCAACGCAAAGCAAAACATTCATGGAAAAGGTACTGGTTATGGCTAGGACAGCTAGGCCACATATTTGTAGTGCTGGAGAAATATTTTGGGATGGCAAAATTGGTATATTTCCTTTCATAGAACAAGTAGTAGCAAAGAAAAATTCAAAGAACAGACATGCAGGCACTGTTGAGACAAAGGCTTTACAATCGATAACTAAATCTATTATCAGATCCGTGTTAATGAAAAAATGCTTCTCAAAGTGGCCGTTAGGAGCTTGCAAGGAAATATGGATACAGCAAGATTATGCTAGACCCCACATTAGTCCAAATGATACAGAATTTGTAGAAGTTGCAACAAAGGATGGTTTCAACAACAAGCTCATAAACCAGCCAGCTCAAAGCCAAGACCTAAGCATTCTTGATTTGGGTTTTTTTAGAGCAATTCAATCAATACAATACAATACATGGAATTTGCAAGAACTTTTGAAGAATTACTACAGGCAATTGAAAATGCATACAATGCATATGATCCGAAGTCTTTGAATTACACTTGGTTGCACATGCAATACTGTATGCTTGAAATACTTCAAGTCAATGGCGGAAATGATTACAAAAACCCTCACAAGGGAAAGAGAAGGTTAGAAAGAATGGGACAATTGCCCGTTCAAATTGAAGTACCATCGGATATGATGCTTCAAGGTCAAAGTTTCATTGATGAGGGACATACTGATGTCAATAATACCCAAGAAGATAGTAATGAACACAATATGTCTCAAAGGATTTAAGATTAACATTGAAGACAACTACATTTTGAGAGCTTTAAAAGTGGAAGAATGTTTAGAATTGAAAACAGTTGCATTTTTTTGGGAGGTTGTAAATTAAAATCAGGTTATTTTTTTGGAAACATTAATAGTTAGGGGGCTGTAAATTTTTTATACATGCATGACAGTAATGTTTAGAACATATGCATGTGAATTGGTAGATACTAATGTAAGTGGTATAAGTATGAATACTGTAATCATGGTACCTTGTTTTGGTATGAATATTGTAATCATGGTACATTGTTTTGATGGGTACCTTTTAATTTCTGTTGTTTCACACTATTTTTTGAGTTTTGAGCCTAATTCAGAGTATTTCTAGTCATTTTTTATTCTTCAAATTTTTTGAAAGTCAAAATTCTAGAATTTAACTACTGGTTGTTTAATTATGTAATTCAATGTAATTAAGAATAGAAATCTACCTCGTGTTACACACACTCTTTCTACTTATACCAAATATCAGAAAACCGGACAATGGCATGATGCTTAACCACCGCATTCAACAACAAAACATGCAAAAATGTAAAATCTCAGTCAAACAACTATTGAGAACCTAGATGTCCATATAAAGTTGCATACTTGTATATCCCCAAGGCCCCAATAAGACTTGGCACAAACTTATGAAACATGATATACAAAATATCCATATCATGTTGAAGACTGAATACCCCGAACGGCCACAAGGCCCCAATAAGCCTTGATAACATGACATACAAATGCAGAAAATAAAAATTATAGTAGAATGCTAAAACCAGGTTGAAAATAATCATTAAATTTGCAACAAATACTCAACTTAAGCTGAAAATTTCTTGTTTTTCTTCGAAATCATCTTATAGTTGATCATGAGAACTCAAGAGTAACCCAAATTAAGGGAAACCCATTTACAATTTACCAATTAACAACTAAAAAAGTCAGCAAAATTTGCAAGTTGACATCACCATTCACCACTACTTTTCTCCACATATATAAGAACCAATGCATTGTACTCATAATTACTACACCTATATACCCAAAATTCAGTGACTTGCATGAAACAAAACTAGTACCATTTCGCGGATTTACAACAAAACCACAAAATACATCGTTTATATGCTTTAATGGAAGAAGATAACAGTCGGAAAATTACCTTTATGGTGCTATTTCTGGGTGAATAGTATTTTTTCGGTCTTTAAACCCTAGATCTGGTTCTTCAACCACAATTCAGTACATCCATGGAGTAAATCAAATTAACGGGGGACGATTTAGGGGAGTGTTATTAATTTTTTCGGTCTTCAAACTCAAGATCTGATTCTTCAACCAAAAAACTTCAATGGCTAAATTTGAAGAACCGGGAAGAGAGAGAGGAGAGGGGTGCTGCAGGAAGAGAGAGAGAGAGGGGTGTGGCTGAAATATTATGGTTTGCAAAAACTAGATCTGCTTCTTCAACCATAAAGCTTCAATGGTGATTCTATTTATCAATGGGGTTTTTGTTTTTCAGGTTTCAAAACAAAAAAAAAAAAAAAAAAAAAAAAAAAACAGTGATGAATACGAAGAATATGATTTGGGATTTTGTTTTTCATTTCATAAATGTTATTTTGATGATATAAAGTAGTAATTAATTGATGCTGATTGATTTTAGTTATGTTTTTATTATTTTGAAAAATTTTAGTTATGATTTTGAATAAGGGTAAATTAGTAATTGTATAAGGTAAAAGTTGCCAAAAAAGGAAATGATGCAATAAATATGAAATATCCCAAAATGGCAAGTGATGCGATAAATAAAAGATGGAGGAAGTATAATTTTATCATTTTGATCATATTATTCTCTAGACCTAATCAAACGTCAGGCCAGGTTCGGGCCGGGCTGCTGACTTTTTCCTGCCTAAATGTCGGACCGGGCCAGAATATTGCTGCCCAAACTTGTCCCAGTCAGGCCTACCGGGCCATTTCGGGCCTAGTTGTCTAAAGTCATCCTTTTTAATTATTTTTTGTAATTTAAAGTTTATTAGTGCATAAAATTACAAATTTTACTTTTTTAGCTAAACTAGTACAAATAAATAATAAAAATTTTGAATATGGAAGTACAACAAAGCCTACAAATATTAAAAAAAAATTCAATCCAAGTTCCAACAAAGTTTAAGTTTACAAACCAATGTCCAAAAGACCAAAACACACAATATTGAGGATTATACTAGAGCTAAATTATAAAACTAATCAACTTCAATATCATCATCATCAATTGCACGTTTTTTACTTGTTGTGGACTTTACCATGTTTTAAACTTCAATCTGTATCACACACTGACACACAAAAAAAAAAAAAAAAAAAAAAAAAAAAAAAAAAAAAACAGAATGATTTCATTTTAATCATTTAAATCTGATTTTATAACATACTAATTACTCGAAAATTATACAATAGATACAATCAAGAATGACAAAACATATTACCAAAATGGCAAAATGAAATAACAGTAAAGAGAAAATTTAACAAAATTAAATTCCAAATTCTGAAATTATGATAAATTATAAAAAATTTGCACTAACATTCGAAATTTAACAAATTATGAAATTAACATCAAGGTCATCAAGACATCAACTTAAAGATTACGAATTTAGCAATTTACGATATTCTGAAAATCTGAAATTAAAGTATTAAACATTTAAACGAACACTAGAATATGAAATGGATATTCGATGTTCATAAAAACAAAAAAAAAACAAAAAAGAGTAAAGACATCTTACCTCAGAACTCAGAAGCCGCTTAAATGGAGGAGAGAGAACTCAGAAGTCAGAAGGCGATTCAATGGAGAACTCAGAGTAGGCTTCAATGGAGGAGAAAGAGGCGCTTCAATGGAGAACTCAGAGTAGGCTTCATTGCTTAATGGAGGAGAGAGAGGCGCTTAATGGAGAATTCAGAATAGGCTTCAATGGAGGAGAGAGAGGCGCTTCAATGGAGGAGAGAGAAGGAGAGTTGAAGAGGCAAGAGGGAGTGAGTGAGTGAAATCAGTGAATGACGGCTCTTAGACTTAGAGTTAGGGTTTATTACTTTATTTTCCTTTTTCTATTTTAAAGATATTTTTTGTGCACTTAATTATTAATCGGAGTCACAGAAACAGAATGCCAGAAGCTCAGACTGTACATTCATATTTTTTTTTTTCAGGCCGGGCCGGGACAGACCTGCTGCCCAAACCCGCCCAAAAATTTTTTGGGCCCATTTTCCCTTGCCCAAACCCGCATTTCGGGCTCATAAAAGCTGTCCAAACCTGGGCCGGGCCGCCGGGCCACACTTGATCAGATCTTTTATTCTCATATAGAGAAGATACCAGTAGAATGTGCAAATTTTAAATGGGACCTACCTTTAGCCTTTGCAAATTATTTCTCTTAAAGTACATACTTGCACACCAAAACATCATCACTTGCAAATTGCAATGCAAAAAGTACTCTCTAAATTCTAAATGTATATGTTTTCACAAGTACAGTATACTATTTTGCATCAAATTAATAAATATACTTCTCATATGATGAGTAAATTCAATGGCGGATCCAAAAAATTTGAAATGGGGATTCGAATATAAGATCAAATCGACCAATTACAGAAAATCAAAGTTCAGTACCATAGTTAAATTTACTATTTGAATTACAACCTACAAATTCATTTTCCACATTCTAACATTTCGCAACTCAGCATATTTTTTTAATAACTACCATATATACAATCTATGCTTTACCTATTGATTAAAATTTATAATCATTTGCAAAGTAATAATCATATTTGTAATGTACAGGGTAGTTAGCAAGTAAAACAAACCCAAAAATCATAATTGTGTCACAAAACAATACTCCCCTTAATAAACACCAAGAATCATTAGATTGTATTAAAGCAAAATTAGAGAATAAGATATCAAATCCAAACTATAAAGTATTCTAACCTTTTCCGTGAATATAAATCACAACAATTTAGCCAGTAGAAAAATCGAAAATGACGGCAGCAGTGTGGTCAGAGCGGAGCAGGGGTTACCGGCGGCTACGAGAGAGGATGAAAAGTTGAGGGGAAAATGTGCACAAAGAGTAGAAAATTGAACAATCGGGAAACTCGCATTATAAGATTGACATTTATGCATAAATTTCTATATCATTTTATTATTTCATTTTTATTATTTAAAAAAATAAAAAAAATATTATATTGTTAAAGGAGATATATTTACAGATTTATGTCAGAGATCAACTTGGATTTTTCCCAAAATTTTAGATGTAACTCAAATTTATTTTTTTTTCAAACTAACAAAATTTCAAATGTAACCCAAAAAAATACAGTATTTATGAGTATTTCTTTTAAAAAAAATATATAGTATGTATATATTTTGTATTATAAATGGTTGGGAAAAAAATTTGAGATAGAAATTAGAATTATATGATAACTTTTCCCCAAATAGATTATGTTATACTCCATATATGATTATATGTTTTTAGATATATCCGGATGTACATAAGGTAGGTGCACTTAAGAATGACTTTTTTACTCATTTGATTTTTTATTTTATTTTTTTGGCTCATTTTAAAATGAGAAAAAAAATATTAAATGAACAAAAATAACCCGCTTTGCAGCCGGGTTTATATAAAATTTTCAATATACGTACTGTCCCAGAAAATGTTTATAAACATTACGTAGATATGTTTCTTAAAGGGTTAGTTTAAGAATTTATATTAATTCATGCGTCAGTTGATGTCATTAGTGTCTGGTTAATGCTTAATTTTACTTTGTCTTACATTAGAGATTATGGTTGCATTTACAAATTTTTAGTTTTTAAGCATAATTAGTTTAAGTCCCGTACAACGCACGGTTGTTATTAAATTTTATAAAGAGTTAATGTATTGAATTTGATAAAAAAATTATACTCATAATTAATACTAATTCAAAAATAAATATAACTTTAATTTATACCTAGCTATACCAATGTCAAGATTAGTGACACTATAACTTTAATTCAA